TAGAAGGCTTCATTCAAGGTCAAACACGTTTTAAAAAGCTGGAAGATACCTTTGACAGAGTAAAGTGCAATTGTACCTTTGCATGAAAATGTTCCTGGAAAGGAAACACTGTTAGGGAAGTTGTGTGGCCCTGATTGTCGCGTCTGAGCCTGAGCAATGACATCACTGTAGATGCATTCTCAAGGTCACTAGTAGGTTAAGAGCTCTCCCATTCCTCATCTCTCCCCATGCCAGGATTTTCTCAGATCCCTTTGACTTCCCCTCCCTCCACTCTCTAATATACCATAAAGAAATATGAGCTAGGATCGGCGCCGCGGCTCACTAGGCTAATCCTCCACCTGCAGCGCCGGCACCCCGGGTTCTAGTCCTGGTTGGGGCACCAGGTTCTAGTCCCGGTTGTTCCTCTTCCAGGCCAGCTCTCTGCTGTGGCCCGGGAGTGCAGTGGAGGATGGCCCAAGTGCTTGGGCCCTGCACCCATATGGGAGACCGGGAGAAAGCACCTGGCTCCTGGCTTCGGATCGGCGCAGCGCCAGCCGTAGTGGCCATTAGGGGAGTGAACCAACGGAAGGAAGACCTTTCTCTCTCTCTCTCTCTCTCACTGTCTATAATTCACTCTCTCTGTCTCTCTCTCACTAACTCTGCCTGGCAAAAAAAAAAAAAAAAAAGATAGATGAGCTAATTAAAAATTAGTGGAAAACAAAATTAAAAGATGTTTATTTTGACATAAACCAAATTTGAAGTCCATGTATAGTTTTTTCATAATATGCACTTGCCATGAACTTTTAAAAAATCTGTATGCGCCAGCGCCGCGGCTCACTAGGCTAATCCTCCGCCTAGCGGCGCCGGCACACCAGGTCTAGTCCCGGCCGGGGCGCCGGAATTCTGGTCCGGTTGCCCCCTCTTTCAGGGCCAGCTCTTTTGTTGTAGCCAGGGAAGGGCGGTGGAAGGATGGCCCCAGGTGGCTTTGGCCCCTGGCCCCCCCAGGGAAGAACCGGGAAAAGCACCTGGCTCCTGGCTCCTGCCATCAGATCAGCGCGGTGCGCCAGCCACAGCGGCCATTGGAGGGTGAACCAACGGCAAAAGGAAGACCTTTCTCTCTGTCTCTCTCTCTCACTGTCCACTCTGCCTGTCAAAAAAAAAAAAAAAAAAAAAAAAAAAACTGTATGCATGGGACTGGCACTGTGGCTCACTTGGTTAATCCTCTACCTGCTGTGCCGGCATCCCATATGGGCCCCGGGTTCTAGTCCCAGTTGCTCCTCTTCCAGTCCAGCTCTCTGCTGTGGCCCAGGAGGGCAGTGGAGGATGGCCCAAGTGCTTGGGCCCTGCACCCACATGGGAGACCAGGAGGAAGTACCCGGCTCCTGGCTTCGGATCAGTGCAGCACCAACCGTAGCGGCCATTAGGGGAGTGAACCAACAGAAGGAAGACCTTCTCTCTCTCTCTCTCACGGTCTAACTCTGTCAAATAAATTAAAAAAAAAGAAAACCTGTATGCATGGATTTCTTTTTTTTTTTTTTTTTTTTTTTTTTTTTTTTTTTTTTTTTGACAGGCAGAGTGGACAGTGAGAGAGAGAGACAGAGAGACAGGTCTTCCTTTGCCGTTGGTTCACCCTCCAATGGCCGCCGCTGCAGCCGGCGCACCGCGCTGATCCGATGGCAGGAGCCAGGATCCAGGTGCTTTTCCTGGTCTCCCATGGGGTGCAGGGCCCAAGCACCTGGGCCATCCTCCACTGCACTCCCTGGCCATAGCAGAGAGCTGGCCTGGAAGAGGGGCAACCGGGACAGAATCCGGCGCCCCGACCGGGACTAGAACCCGGTGTGCCGGCGCCGCAAGGTGGAGGATTAGCCTATTGAGCCACGGCGCCGGCCATGTATGCATGGATTTCAACAAAATTTTGTACCAAAGTAAAAATATCTTTCAATTCAATTTTCCATTTTTTTGGAAAGTACCTTCCAATTTGACAAACTGTTTTGATTCTATTCTACCAAAAATTATTACCAGTATATGCCATTATGTTAAACAATTTGAATAATTCAAAATGCAGTAGCAGACATTTTTAAATATATAGGTTTAGGGGAAAAACACGTAGGGTGGCTTTAAAATCGAAAAATTGTCCAGCCATCCTTTTGGTACAGATTTTTAACAACTGGTTAGTTCAGCTTCCATTCTGTTTTTTATATTCTAGGCCACCAATTTTTCAAGCCAAAGATTAGCGAGTAAAAGGGTCACCTAGACCTGAGCAAAAATCTGTTTCTGTGTCTGCTTCATTTGCATCTGTCTGGCTCTTTTAGCTCTACCTTGCCAGGGTGCAAAACAACAAGATTTAAAGTTCTACTCTCAAAAGAAGACTTGGTCCCACCGGCACTTTCTTTTTCATTTTATTTGAAAGTCTGAGAAACTGAGAGAGAGATCTTCCATCTGCTGGTCCACTCCCCCAAATGCCTGCAACAGTCAGGGCTGAGAGTGTCCAAAGCCAAGATCCAAGAATACCATTTAGGTCTCTTTTGTGAATAGCATGGTCCCCAGGACTTGAGCCGTCACCTTCTGTCTCCCAGGGTACACATTAGCAGGAAGCTGGATCAGAAGCAGAGTAGCCTAGACTCAAATCAGGCACTGCAACATGGGATGGAGGCCTCCCAAGTGACATCTGCTGTGCCAAATATCCCCCCTCCACCGGCAAATTGTAATGTGCTATTGTTTATGCATAAGATGGAAGGCTGCTCTAAGATCAGGTTTGCGTTGTTTATCACCTGTGTTGAGACCTGAAAAATTAAATGGATCCCTTTTTTAAATAGGAAGCATATGAACATAGATGTCATTTGTAATTAGTATACTGTTCTTTGTGTGTTGGGTTTTATACCCTGAAACTTCAGTCATCCTCGCTAGCTGTGGGGGGATTCATTACAGAAACTCCATGAATATCATACATGTTCAAGTCCCTTTCATAAAATGGCATAGTATTTTTTTTAATAAATGTCAATTTACAAAGTGCAACTTTTGTATTGTTGTGGCTCCGCCCCCAACCTCCCTCCCTCCCTCAGCCCTCCCCTCTCCCACTCCCTCTCCCATCCTGCCCTTCATCGAGTTTCATTTTCAATCACCTTCCTATACAGAAATGGCATAGTATTGACATATAACCTACATGCATCCTCTAGAATATTCTAAATCATCTCAATTACTTATAATATCTCCTACAGTATAAATCTATGTAAATAGCTGTTATGCTGTATTTTTTAGGGATTTATGACACTCCCAAAAAGCCCATATATGTTCACTAGAGATGCAACTACTTCATGTAGTGCTCAGCATGCAACAAATTTAACCTTTGCTTAATTTTGAGAATGTTTTGTTAGTTTTACTTATTTATTTATGTATTTCAAAGGCAGAATGACAGAGAGAAAGGGAGAGACAGACAGAATCTTCCATCTGCTGCTCATTTACTCCTCAGATGCTCACAACAACCAGGGCTGGGGCAAGCTAAAACCAAGAGCCAAGAACTCCATCCGAGTCTCCCTCATGGGTATCAAGGACCCAGGTGCTTGATCCATCACCTGCTGCCTCCTGGGGTGCTCATTAGCAGGAAGCTGGATGAGAAGCAGAAGTGGGACTTGATCCGAGGCATTTTGATATGGGATGTGAGTATCCCAAACAGTGGCTTAACCCACTACACCATAACATTCAACCCTGTGGTTTTCAACTCACAGTTTGTTGAACCAACAGATGCGGAGTGCTGACTATAATTTTTTTCCCACCAACATGAATACCAAAAAATGTATTTGGTGATCAAATCTTGATTCTTCATTATAACTTACATATCATTATAAGTTTCAGTATATTATTAGTTTCAGCCTTTCAAAATATGCCTAAAACCTCAAATGTTATAAAACTTTATCTTTAGTAGTTGGGTGACAGGAACCCAAGCACTCGAGCTGTCACCTGCTGCCTCCCAGGCTATGCAGTAGCAAGAATTTGGATCAGAAATGGAGGCAGAACGACTCAAACGCAGGCACTCTGAACAAGATGCAGGCATCTCAAACTGTGGCTTATCCCATTGCACAACACCCACCCTCCTTGCACACTTTATGGGGTAGGGCGCAATATTTCAACTGCTAAACGCAGCACAGACCAACTACACCAGGCAACTAAACCTTCTACTTCCTGGACCACAGACTTTAGCTACTCGACCAGGGAATACCAGAACCCATGACCTTCACCCAACTGTGTTTACGTACCTATTATCAAATCCTCCCAACTCCACTCTTCCTAGCCTCCAGTAATCACTGCTCTAGATTCATGTGGACCACACACACACACACACACACACACACACGTATCTTCCACATAGTACAGAAAACATGAAAAATATGGAAAGTGGCAGGAATTTGCAAGTCATCCTTACCCAGGGACCATGCTTATCTTCTCCATATCATTCCAACTTTAGCGTATGTGCTACCAAAGCAAGCACCTGTCTGTATCTTACTAAGAGTTGCAGAAAATGACTCACGCCAGCCTCAACAAATCCCAAAGCACAAATCAACTGAAGGATCTGGGTTTCCCTTAGAGCAAGCAGGAAGCAGGACCAGACATCTGCAGCAACAGCCTCAGTTCCAGTAATCCCCTCTCTCAATCTGTACTTCTAAATCCCAGATTCTTTTGCAAAGAGATCTGATGGGCCCGGAGCATAGTTCATCCTTGGCCAATTACCTATGGCCTCTGGGCAGGCCTGTAGGCTTGGCCCAGATGTTGGTAGTTCCCAGAAAGAGAGGGATGGTTTTGAGCAGGGCATGGGACTCAAAAGGCACCTGTTATATGCGTGTAACTGTTTTCTGTTTTTAATTTTTTTGTTTTGGTTTTTTTATTTTTTTAATTTTTTAATTTAATTTTATTTATTTTAGTTGTAGCAATAAGGAACACATAACTTCAGAGAAATAAAGAATAGACTGAAAATATAAAATATTTATAGAAAATGGATATCTGAGTAAGCAACAAAATTGCATTAGTGATTTTTTAAACTTTTATTTAATAAATATAAATTTCCAAAGTACAACTTTTGGATTACATTGGCTCCCCCCCTCTAATAAATTCCCTCCCACCCACAATCCTCCCATCTCCCACTCCCTCTCCCATTCCATTCACATCAAGATTCATTTTCAATTATCTCTATATACAGAAGATCAGTTTAGTATATACTAAGTAAAGATTTCAACAGTTTGCACCCACACAGAAACACAAAGTACTGTTTGAGTACTAGTTATACCATTAATTCACATAGTACAACACATTAAGGACAGAGGTCCTACATAGGGAGTAAGTGCACAGTGACTCTTGTAGTTGACTTAACAATTGACACTCTTATTTATGGTGTCAGTAATCACCCAAGGCTCTTGTCGTGAGTTGCCAAGGCTATGGAAGCATTTTGAGTTTGCCAACTCCAATCTTATTTAGACAAGGTCATAGTCAAAGTGGAAGTTCTCTCCTCCCTTCAGAGAAAGGTACCTCCTTCTTTGATGGCCCATTCTTTCCACTGGGATCTCACTCACAGAGATCGTTCATTTATATATATATATATATATATATATTTGTTTTGTTTTGTTTTGTTTTGTTTTGTTTTTTTTAAACAGAGTGTCTTGGCTTTCCATGCCTGAAATACTCTCATGGGCTTTTTAGCCAGATCCGAATGCCTTAAGGGCTGATTCTGAGGCCAGAGTGCTGTTTAGGACATCTGCCCTTCTATGAATCTGCTGTGTATCCCACTTCCCATGCTGGATCATTCTCTCCATTTTAATTCTATCAGTTAGTATTAGCAGACACTAGTCTTGTTTATGTGATCCCTTTGACTCTTAATCCTATCATTATGATCAATTATGAACTGAAACTGATCACTTTGACTAGTGAGATGGCATTGGTACATGCCACCTTGATGGGATTGAATTGGAATCCCCTGGCACGTTTCTAACTCTACCATTCAGGGCAAGTCCGATTGAGCATGTGCCGAACTGTACATCTCCTCCCTCTCTTATTCCCACTCATATTTAACAGGGATCACTTTTCAGTTAAATTTAAACATCTAAGAATAATTGTGTGGTAATTAAAGAGTTCAACCAATAGTATTAAGTAGAACAAAAAATACTAAAAGGAATAAAGTAGTAAGTTGTTCCTCGACAGTCAGGACAAGGGCTGATCAAGTCACTGTTTCTCATAGTGTCCATTTCACTTCAACAGGTTTCCTTTTGGGTGCTCATTTATTCAGCTCAGTTCACAATATCTAAGACATGGAATCAACCTAAATGCCCATCAACATAATTTCTGGATAAAGAAATTATGGGATATGTACTCTATAGAATACTATACTGCAGTAAAAAAAAAAAAATGAAATCCTGTAATTTGCAACAAATGACAGGAATCTGGAAAACATCATGCTGAGTGAATTAAGCCAGTCCCAAAGGGACAAATATCATGTGTTCTACCTGATCGGTGACAACTAACCAAGCACCTAAAAGGAAACCTGATGAAGTGAAATGGACACTATGAGAAACAATGACTTTTGTTTTTAATTTAAAAAAAAAAATTGATTTGAGAGACAGAGCTCCCATCTGCTGGCTCATTCACCAAATATCTGCGACAGTTGGGGCTGAAGCCCAAGCTGAGATCTGGGAATGTAATCCAAGCCCCTATATGAGTGACAGGAACCCAGTTTCTTCAGCTATCATTGCTATCTATCTGGGTCTGCATGGGCAGGAAGCTAGAATCAAGAATCAGAACTGGGAATCAAACCAACTCCCATGTGTATGCAGGCATCCGGTAGGCTAAATGCCCAGTCCTGTGTCCACCAAGTGTCCTAACATTTTTTCTCACAGTGTAGATTGAATGATGCTTCTAAATGCAACATCTAATTTTCCCCAAATTTAATCCTCAGGATTAACTCAGTCAATTCTGACTGCTTATAACAAGTATGTGAAATTACATATAAACACGTATAAAAAGGCCAAAAAATGTATTCCATTTGCATATGATAAACTTCCAAAAAGTTTTGTGATTTGTATGTAGTCTCATGTTGACTTCCTCATAGGGATTTAGGCTCATCCTAAACACTATACATCCCAGGCCAGGGAAGGTCGATGAGAGACAAAGAGAAGTCATCCGGAGGACTCTTGAGGAAACCAAAATTTTCCTCCTGCCAGCAACAAGAGATATAGCACAGCTGAAGCTCCCACAGCCAGCAAATGCCTGAGACTGGAAATTAGACTGTAAGGTGTATAGAACGGAGGATGAAAACAGCTTGGGTTCCTCGTGGCTGTACAATTTCTCTATCAGCACTGGACTTTTTTTTTTTCAGAGACAGAAACCAAGAGAGTGCCCATTTACTGGTTCATTCCTCCAAATTCCCACAATAGCTTGGATTGGGCCAGGGCCATGAGCTGGAACTCAATCCAGGTCTCCCATGTGGGCTACAGGGACCCAACTAGTGGAGCCATCACAGCCACATCCCAGGGTCTACATTAGCAGGAAGCTGGAGTCAGGAGGCAGAGACAGGAATTGAACCCAGCTACTCCAACATGAGACATCTTCCACTGCCTTCCCAGGTGCATCAGCAGGGAGCTGGATGGGAAGTGGAGCAGTAAGGACTCAAACCACCACTCTTACAAGATGCTGGCATTCCAGGCAGTGGCTTAACCCACCGCAGACACAACGCTGGTCCCTGTGCCTTTTAAAAAAAAAAAAAAACACAAAACATTTGTTTATTTATTTATTTGAAAGGCAGAGCGACAGAGAGAGAGGGGGAGAGATAGAAAGAGATCTTACAGGGGCCTGCGCTGTGGCATAGTGGGTAAAGCTGCCACCTGCAGTACTAGCATCTCATATGGTGCCAGTTCAAGTCCCAGCTGTTCCACTTCTGATCCAGCTCTTTGCTAATGTGCCTGGGAAAGCAGTAGAAGATGTCCCAAGTCCTTGGGCCCTGCACCCACGTGGGAGACCTGGAAGAAGCTCTTGGCTTTGGATCAGCCCAGCTCCAGCCATTGTGGCCATTTGAGGAGTGAAACAGTGGATGGAAGACCTCTCTCTCTTTCTCTGCCTGAGCCTCTCTGTAACTCTGACTTTCAAATAAATAAATAAATCTTTTAACACAAGAAAGCAATCTTACATTAGCTGGGGTACTCCCCAAATGGCCATCACAGCTGGAACTTGGTCAGGCCAAAGCCAGGAGCCAGAAATTTCATCCAGGCCTCCCAGTGGGTGGCACAGGGACTTGAGTACTAGGGTCATCATCTGCTGCCTCCTAGACCCGTCAACAGGATGCTGGATCCGAAGTGGAGGCAGAACTTGATTCCACACTCTCAGGATAATTTGGAATGTGGGCATTCCAAGTGGCAACTTAATCCATGGCATCACAATGCCTGCCCCCAAAAGTTGAATTTAATGCAATGTCCCCATGTCCTGAAATGTTTCTTTTCCAGCCATTTGAAAATGGAAAAGCCAGTCTTGCAAGCCATACAAAAACAGGCAGTCAACTGGATTTGATCTGCAGACTGTTGCCAGCCTCTGCTGTCCATAGATGTACATGTATCCTATTCTTTTCTTGGTATACTTTTAAAATACTGCTTAAAATCACAGCACTGGTTGGGACCGGTGTTGTGGTATAGCAGATAAAAGTCACCACCTGTGATGCCAGCATCCCATATGGGTGCCAGTTTGAATCCTGGCTGTTCCACTTCCAATCCAGCTCCCTGCTAATGCACCTGGGAAAGCAACAGAAGATGGCCCAACTGCTTGGGCACCTGAACCCACATGGGACACCCAGATGAAGCTCCAGGCTCCTGGAGGCTTCAGTTTGGCCCAGCCCTGGCCGTTGAGGCCATCTGGGGAATGAACCAACACATGGAAGATCTCTCTCTTTCTCCCCCCATAACTCTGCTTTTCAAATAAATAAAATCTTTAAAAAAAAAAAAAAAAACACCACAGCACTGGTAATCTGACCCCACCCTCACAATGTCTGCACAATCATAGTCACATAGTATTTGAGGAAGATGAAAGATTCTTTAGCCAAAAAAAAAAAAATCATTAAAATGATACTATTTTAGACATAGCCCCTTAGATAGGTTCAAGCCATCGGATCAGTGCGGTGCGGCGGCCATTGGAGGGTGAACCAACGGCAAAAAGGAAGACCTTTCTTTCCGTCTCTCTCTCTCTCACTGTCCACTCTGCCTGTAAAAAAAAAAAAATAATAAAAAATTAAAAAAAAAAAAGTTTCTCCCTTAAGTTTTGATAATTGAGTCTGCTAAAGTAAACTAATGGCCGGTGCTGCAGCTCACTAGGCTAATCCTCCGCCTGCGGCGCCGGCACCCCGGGTTCTAGTCCTGGTTGGGGCACCAGTTCTGTCCTGGTTGCTCCTCTTCCAGTCCAGCTCTCTGCTGTGGCCCAGGAAGACAGTGGAGGATGGCCCAAGTCCTTGAGCCCTGCACCTGCATGGGAGACTAGGAGGAAGCACCTGGCTCCTGGCTTCAGATCGGCACAGCGCGCCAGCCGTAGCGGCCATTTGGGGGGTGAACCAATGGAAGGAAGACCTTTCTCTCTGTCTGTCTCTCTCACTGTCTAACTCTGCCTATCTAAAAAAATAAATAAATAAAGTGAACTGGCATTACTCCGTAGGAGAGTAAAACTCCCCACCTCCCGCAGAGTTCTTCTGCACGTGGTGAGTGGGCAAGTGAGAGGGACTGAGGACGTTTGCAGGCTCAGGAATGACTCTGCCTGCGTTTTGTGAAAGACATTTACGTGCATAGAGGAAATCAACGCCGGTGATGGGGTCAGGCACCCAGGATGCACACAGGCTTTTCTATCTCATGGCCACAGGGGGCCGGCACCTGGGAAACTCACTTGCACAACACCACAGCTCTTGCTCCTTCTACATCTCCTCCTCTCAACCTCTGCAGCTTGCGCCATCTCCCTTCCCCCAGAAGCCCACACTCTGTCGTGTTGCTCACCTCTGTGGAAACTTCACCCGTCTAGCACTTCTTTGAGTCGCATACGGATACTCACGGCTCCCATGTTTAGGCACATTAATAAGAGTATTGGGATGCTTTTTGTCTTCCTGTTCATCTGTCTACCATCAGCTTATTTCATTGACTCCATTATTGAACCCTGGAGGTGGGGAGGGGAAGCGCCCTTGGCCTCTACAACAGATTAAAGGGGGTAGGGGTAGCAGAGGCATACAAATCTGCGAACCTGCCGGGTCATACCAGTCCAGCTGGAGCCACGCAAACAAAGGGCCACGTGACTGACCTGAGAGTCCCAGAGGGTGGCAGTGCTGAGTCAGGAGGCAGGAGGGCAAGCCGCGGGCTTGGAACAAAGGTTGCTGCTTCACGGTGCAGATAAGGTCTCTGTCACTCTGTCACTTGGGAGCCTATGTGACATCCTGCCGCAGTCTCTGGCAAGGGTGTGATATGATCTTTCCTAGATCCAGAAGCGGCAGCGAGGCAGGCCTGGAGGAAGCCTGGCTGCCTCTGCTGTTGGGAGATTCCCCTAACAGTGCAAATCTCCCCATCCAAGGCCAGCGGGGCAGAGCTGCGGCCGGGGCCACAGCACCCCTCTGAAGAGCAGCCTCCCCATACACTCCAGAAGCACCCTCTGCCGTGGCCTGTTTCAATCTCCACCCTCTGTTACAATGACTTCTTGATGGAATATAAATGCAGAGTTAAAGTCCATTTTCTAAGTACATTTTGGAAAAACTGGAGCTTATTTTCTCTGGTATTGGTTTTTATTTTCTTCCATAATTCAAAAAAAAAAAAATCTATCATGCTTTCTCCAGAAGGCACTCCATGAATTCTTGAATGTATGTGTTACCTCCTCTGTCAAAATGGGAGCACTTGCATTCAGCCTGGTCGTAGGCAAAGCTGTGCTGAAAGCTACCCCCAGTTGACTTCGTTTGTATTCCAACAGAGGGAATGCAGAAGTTTGGTATCTGGCACATTGATCCTCAGGAACCCAGCCGGTAATCAAAGCGTTTCTTCCAGGAACCTCAGGGAAACTTCAGCTCCAGAAATTACACCCCGCGGGAAGCCACCTACTTTACCCGCAGAGACGCACAAATGGCCCGTCACCAGGTGAAACACGCACGGCTCGCCCATGACGAACACACATGATCCCAGGCAGAGGCTCCAGCCCGGGTTGTCCGCTATCCTGAGTCCGACGCAGCCTGGGACAAAGAGCATCCTCCAAGAAGAGTCACAAAATAAGAATAGAATTGTCTGCACTTTGGAAACACTGACACACAGACCTATTTTGGAAGAAACAGTGCCGAACTGGAATGCTTCGAGGACAACCTTCAAGCCAAGACACTCTCCCAAGCGGAGCTGCGAATCCCACCGCACAAAGGAAGAGGCGCTTGCCCTGCAGTTGGCAATTCCTGTGGAATATCAACTTTTATATCCCCAATATTTATATAGCCTGCCTTTTATAAGGTACATGAAGTAGACAAGTGAGTGTTCCACCTACAAGGAATGGCAGCTCTGTACACTGTCCGCGCCTTGGGGTCCTTGCTGGAAGCGAGCAACATCATAACTGAGAGCATGGACCTGGGTTCGTGGGGGAATAGGAGACTCTTGTCGGAGGATGAGCGGTTACGCTGTTACGTGTGGGCAAACACACCGAGCACACGCATTTCAGCGCGTTTCTGTCTGTCCCCTTTTGTTCATGTGCTCCCCACCAGGGATGTGATCTCTGAGGCTCTGCGCTCTCTGCTGACGCCTCCCAGGGGACCCGGAGCAAGCGCTGAAAGAGAAACAAGACCTTCAGGGGCTCATGTTACATTACACTTTCCAGCCGTTTGAAGTTGGTCTAACCCTTCACTAAGTACTTGGCAAACTTTAAACTATACATCTGTGAAGCTGATTCCGCGCCCCCCTTCACTTTACCTTTCACCTACTTTAAAATAAACCACTCATTGTTCCAAAGGGAAAAATCAAATTTGTTTTTCCCAAGTAATCTATAATGGAGTGAAACATTGCTAGGAGGTTTGCAATTAACTAATCTACTATGCAGTAAATCTCAGAGGGAATCAAAGTTAATGAGAGAATCATTCTTCAACCTTCCATATTTAGGCCTCTTTTTTTTTTAATTAACAAAACATATATTCTTTAAATTAGAAAAGTATATGAACCTATTTTTTAAATGCTTAACCCATACAGAAACATAAAATTAAAGGGGAAATATAATGACCCATTTTCTTGTGTATGTTGGTTTTTTTCGGTATTAAAATATAAACAAATGTATAGAAGTAAGAAGTTTGCAAATTTTATTAGATTTAGCTTTTAGTTTTACCTGTGTTTTCTGAGATTTTATCACTTAGAGGTAACAAAAACTATTTCAGAAGTCATTAAAGAAATAATACTAGACCATTTCTCTCTCTCTCTCTCTCTCTCTCACTGTCCACTCTGCCTGTCAAAAAAAAAAAGAAAGAAAGAAAGAAAGAAAGAAAGAAAGAAAGAAAGAAAGAAAGAAAGAAAGAAAGAAAGAAAGAAAGAAAGAAAGAAAGAAAGAAAGAAAAGAAAAGAAATAATACTGGAAACTTCTCACCTGGGCTGCCAGGGCCTTGCCTGGCTCTCACTGCTTCATCACACACACCTTGCCTTGCCCCGCAGCCCTAAGCAATTGCTTGCAATTCTCCAAACACACCAACCCTTCCCATGCCTTTTATGTATTTGCAAATAGTAGTCTTTCTGCTTGTCCTGCCCGTTCCCCTTTGGAACACTCCATAGAGCCCCAGTCATCCTTCACGTGTCAGCCCGAATACAGCGCTCCCGGAATCACTTCCAGCTTCCTTCCTTAGGGGAAAGCTCTTCACTCCCACATCCTTGAGCCTTCTGCACCCTAGACGGACTTATAGAAAGAGTTCCTCACGATGGCTTGTAATCATTGATTTCTGTTCCTGTCCAGAGAGAGTGCATGAGAGCAGGAGGTGGAAAGCAGTCGTTTTTAGATTCCCATTGATTGTCTACTGGGCCTAGTGCATAGGCAATGATAGAAATGCTACGGGAGCATTGAGAAGTGAGTTACTTCCTCTTTCCAATTGGTGGGGGAAGATTTCCTAGACTAATAATTGTGGGCTTTGATCAGAAATTTCTCAAGAAATTTCAAGTAAACAAAAAGAAAAAAAATTTCAAGTAGAAACAACAGTATGTGCATAAGTATGTGAGTTGGTGCAGAAGCAAATGAGGCTTAAAAGTATGTTATCAGGTCGGGCATCTGGCCTGGAGGTTAGCACACTGCTTAGAACATCCACACCCCACACTGGAGTGCCTGTGTGCAAGGCTCACCGCCAGCTCCTGACCCCAGCTTCCTGCTAATGTAGACCCCGGGGAAGCAGACGCCATAGCTCTAAGTAACATGCGACTCTGTCACCCAGATGGGTGAGCTGGACTCAGTCTCCAGCTCCAGACTTCAGCCAGCCCAGTCCTGGCCATTACGGAGGTTTGGGGAGTGAGCCAACAGATGGGAGCATATTCTCATCCTCTCTCTCTCTCTCTCTCTCTCTCTCGCAAGGCAGACATAAAAGTGGGTTATGAAAGGGCTGAAAGGAGCTACATGGCGCGCTCCAGAGTTGGGCAGCAGTGTGGTGGCACCCTGGGAAGGGGATGTCCCTGGATAACAAGGGAGAACTGCAGTCTGGGTAAGAATGGGTCAGAGCCTGATTAAGATCAGTGCAGTGGGGATAAAGAAATACATTAAAGAAATATTTCAAGAATAAAATTGAGATTTGACTTGAGACGGGGTTGTGCGGTAGAGTTTGAAGCACTGAGTCAGGCAATGAGGTTTAGGCTTCAGAAAGGCCACTAGCTGCTGCTCTGTGGAGAGCAGTCGGACTCCTGGGTGCAGGCAGAGAGACAGAACCTGTTTACGAGAGCGAGAGCGCTGCTGCCTGCCCTATTTCAGCTGCACCGTGGGCTGACCAGGCTTTGGGGGGCCAGCTGGTTAACTTGCCTTTCACTCTCGTATTACATTGTTTCTGTGGAAAAAGTGATTGGAGTCCTAAACTGATTTTCAAACACACTTTTGGAACATTTCCCATGTGCAGTTTGGGACAGGCTGTTCTAAGAGATATGGAACAGAAAGTCAGGGCTTGGAGCAGCTTGAGTGCCAGTCTTAGTTAACGTCACAATAAGGACAAACAAGCAGTCTCGCATATCTGAAGAAATTACCACTTTGCTGCAGCAAATAAAATTTGTACTTTTCCATTCCTATTAAGTGATTACTACCAACTGGCTAGTTAGCAGGAACAGAGATCAGCTTTCACAATGCTTTCTTTGCCTGCCAATAAGTCCAGAAGCTATCCATTTCTAGTAAATAATAAAAAGTATATGATGACGGGAAATCACAGCATTCATGCTATAAAAATAAGTGGATGACGATATGGAAAATGAAGATCAGGTATAAACAGGTAAAGACAGAGGTACCCACTTGAAGGAAATGGGTCCTGTTGCCTTTGAGTTAAAAAAAAGAATATTTGTCATCGCTGGGCGAAAACAGTTTCAGGAGAAGGAATTGTAATTATATACACTGTTTATAGTTAAAACCTGTTCTCTGGAAGATAGATCTTGGCTTAATCTAAGGTAATTTATACTTAGGGGTTTTTACATACTGCAAAATATCCTGCCCCGCCCCTGGATCAGTCCCCACACAAGCCTCTGGCCCCAAGGCTAATAACTAGATTAAGTTACAATATATTCCAGATGGGGGCATGCTGGGCCTGATAAGGAAGGAAGGGAACCGCTCCAAAGAAGCTGCAGGTCCTAGCTCGCACGCATCAGCAGGAGCCAGGACACTGTGTTTGCAATTGCATTGAGGAGACCGGAACGTAGGATGGCCAAGGGAGAGTTTCAGTTTATCAACTTGAACCAAATATAGGATTTAACACCCAGGGAAAAAAGCCAAGGAAATGTTGCAGTTATGCTACCAGGATGGTTGCTAGAAGCAGGAAAAAACCAAAAGCCCCTAATTAGTGAGGCAGACAAGCAGGAAAGCAGAGGAAGCCACTAAAAGGTTCAGCGAAATGGGCATGCGAGTGACAGTGTACTATGGGAAGCCAGAAACACCCATCAGAGGAAGGGCTCATTCCCAGACAGATCCATCACCTCCCAAAGCACTGGCTGCAGCATCATGGCTAAAGTTTGATTGTGCTGCCTCCAAAATTTAGTGACAAAAAGCTTCAGAAAGTCCATGAGAAAATGGACTTAAAACAATGCAGACTCTCCGTGAAGTCTCTAAAGCCTTCTGTCCTTGGCGGTGTGACTGGCAGAGGGGGGCTTCTAGGAGGTGAGCAGGCCATGAGGGTTCCTCCCGCAGAAATGGAAGTAAGCCCTCCGTGAAAGATGCCTCATGCGGCATTTTGCTAACTTGCCCTTGCTTCTTCCACCATGTGAGGGTGGAAGTAAGTGTAGAATTTTGGCAAGAGGGGGCACGGGAACAGGGGCAGAGAATCTTAGAGTTTATTCCTGAGAGCTCATTTTTCAGGGGATGCCCCAGGAAGGTTTGTGTTGCGACGTTACACTCAGCGAGGGCCTGGACACCAGTCGCCCAAGGAAAGCTGCAGAAGAGCTGAGTCGGAGTCTTGAACATATACTGTGTGAAGACGATGTTGCTGAAACAAGAAGGGCCCTACTGCGCCCCTTTTTCTACATGGTGGACACTCCCTTAGCCTGGGCTATCAAAGCCTGGTCTACCTGCTTCTCAGGGAGGCAGTTTCTGTAGGGAATTAGACCTTCCCCGCGTCTCCTTTACCTGTCGCAAGGAAATAAAGTTTTCTTGGAGTTAACTCCCACTTACTCATTATTTGGTGCAATGAACCCCTTGTGTTCACAAACAAAGACATGGTGGGTGTTTCTCCCCTCCCGAGGACACAGTCCCCACCAGATAACCCAACTCCCAGTGCCTTGTTTTGGGACTCCAGAGCTGTGAAGAAATAAATGTCTGTTCCTTATAAATTGTAGCTATCAGGCATTTTGTTACAGTAGCATGAAC